CACACACACACACACACACACACACACACACACACACACACACACACACACACACCAAACACACATGTATAGTTTATTTAAGGATTAAAATTAACATATTATCTGTATCTTGTATGATTCTAAAACAAACAGAAAAATGCAAATGCAATGGATTACTCATACTCAGGTAATAAAAACTATGCTTGATGTCTTGCAACCCATTTTAAACTTCTCTTTTTATCTTTCCTTTTTATTCCTACATCCTGGCAGGATAACCAGTTAGAATTCCTAGAGGATGATTTGTTCATCGACCTTCTGAACCTCAGTCATCTCTTCCTACATGGCAATCGTCTATGGAGTCTTCGCCAGAACACTTTTCGAGGTCTAGGAGTCTTAGACCGGCTCCTTCTCCACCAGAATCGAATCCAGTGGGTTGATCGTCAGGCCTTCCATGACCTTCGGCGTCTCACTACTTTGTACCTGTTTAATAACTCCCTCACTGAGCTGTCTGGTGCCACCCTGACTCTTCTGCCAGCCCTGGAGTACCTGCGACTCAACGACAACCCCTGGGAGTGTGACTGCAAGGCCCTGTCACTTTGGGATTGGCTGCGGAGGTTCAGAGGCTCCACCTCCTCTCTGATGTGTGTTTCGCCGCCTGAGCTGACGGGGAGGGACCTGAAAACGCTCAAGAAAGAGGAGCTGCCCAGTTGCATATCAGGCGAGAGTCATGCGCATGGCGCCCCAGGCAGAGAGATTGAGCACGGGGAGTCTTTAAACCACCTGAATCGTCACAGAAACCATCACAACCACCATCAGCGGCCATACTTGCCCCACGGGGACCAGTACAGCTTGCCTTCACCCTCACCCCTACCACGGCCACCTAAAGGAGGCCGCCGAAACTGTACTCGCCGTGGCCGCAAGGCAAAAGGGGGGCTCAATGAGGTGCAGGTACTGCAGGAGGGGGGTGAAAAAGACTACACTCCAGATGGCGATAAATATGACCTGTCTGCCACAACAAGGAGGAAGAACAAGTGCATCCCCAGAACTTCCGTTGGCCCACCAATTGGGGTCCAGAGAGCTAATAACAAAGCAGGGTCACATCATGCAGGTTTAGTTTCGTGTTTGTCATCAGCTCTGCTGCTGTCACTCTACTTTGTGATCCTACGTTGAGGCAGGAAACGGACACTGTTGTGCTGGTGATGCAACCATATGATTCATTCTCCTGAACCACCTTGTTCTGGCTCTTTAAATGAGGCATGTGCACATAAATGTGTGTGTAAATGACTGTGTACAAAGGACATCACTGAAAATCCCTGTGGTATTAATGCAGGGGTCATTCTGAGTCATAATCAATACATGTTAGTCAGGGAAAACTATTTTGCCCACTTGCTTTGATGATGTCACCAAGGGAAACAACAGGAAAACTTTTGTGTCTCTGGCATCAACTGCTTCACTGAATTTATGTACAGCCACATAAAATAACAAGCCAATAATTCAGCAACAGGAACACGCAGTAAGTATCAAAACAGTTCATGGCTCGGTCTCTGCGTTTAGCCCCCGTGACACGATAGCGCTCTCAACCGCAACCTCCATCTGTCAGTCAAGCCGAGAGGAAGACATACTCATTTGTAGCTGTCACCGTACTCATTCAGCAACACCTTAAGATCAAGAAAGAAAATACCGCTGACACAAGTGGCAGGAAAATGAGTCATTGTGAAACGTTTAGCAGTAATAGCTATAACCATTATATACCTGCAAATAAAGTGGTTTTCGTTCACGTATCAGGACAAGTTTAATGTGAATCTGTATGCTTAACTTTTAACTTTTTAGTCTAAATTCTGAAAGTACCACAGAAATTGTCACTCAACTATTCGCCATTCAGGTCTTCAAACTGTTGAAAACTATAATCTGTCTGTGCCCTCACATCGAAACTTCAAAAAGCCATTCAGAACTAACCAATCGTCCGAGGAGCCAGCTGGTCACAGTCAGTGTAAATGAATGGGAACGAGTGACTGAAAAAAATTACGATTTTTTTGTATTAATGTTTGTATGTATATGTGTGTGTATGTGTGTGTGTGTGTGTCCTCTAAAAAATTAAATTAAAAAACGCTAAAGCCATGCGGGTAGAATGAAGTTAGAAAGCAAGAGTGCCTATCGAGAGCCAGTTTCCAATATGGGCAAAACTTTGGAATTTCATTCAGCCTTTGACCTCTGTGGCTACAAAACAGAGGCTCAGCTTATGCAGGTCAAGGAAAAGCTGAGGCCTGAGCCAGACTCACAATTCCAAGAAACAGATATGCACTTTCCTCTTTCATACCACAGAGGCTATAAATACATCTTCTAAAGAGAGATGATCCAATCCAAATATTCTTCGGAAACTTTCAATCAGATGGTGATCACCACAAGTCACGACATCTTCTGCAAAGATCCAATCGTTCATCAAAAGGAGAGCAGAGAAGTAGCTCAAAATCTGTGATGATCACCGGACGACTGACAAACTCCTGGTTTTCTCTCTTTGTTTAGTGTGCTCCGAAACAGACGGACTCATCGATGTGCAAGCCCTGACTGGAGACTTGGATTTTAATGCTGCTACGTTTGAGGAGAGAGAATCCCATTGGCCTTTTGTTGGCTCGGGACTCCTCTTCAAGAAATTAAAAAAAGCACAGAAAGAACTGTGTGACATGGCGCCCTTTGAGAGGTTCAAGCACACACCCTCTAACCCTCCCAAAATAGCCCAATCTATCACCTTCACAGCCTTCCTGTCCCACTATAAACACCCCATGAGTCCAAGGTTTTCGAATCACAAACAGCACCACAGATAATGCCGAGACTTTGACTCAGTCACTCAGCCAAAGTGCTCAATGACAAAACCTGTACAGATACTCATGGGCCACCCGGGTACCTTGGCAAGCCAGTAATGCTAAAGATCTCTTTGTTTCTTTTACAATTACAAAGTTATAAATCTTATTTTGAAAAAGAAAAATACCCTTTTATGCAAAAGATGAACTATAAGCTTAAAAAAAAACAAGCTAAATAATTGGCACGCTAACAAAAAGCACAAAGAATAATGAGTTTAGTTTTGCTGGCATCCTAAAAATACCTGGTTTTGATGGGAATTCATGAGCAGGGCTTGCATTTGTACCCTGCTTGGGTGTGTTTCCCACTGAGCCCCGCCTTTTCATGTCTCTCTATCTAGATGTCGGGAAGCCTGTCACTTGAGTCATTCTCCTGACATGTAGGATTTAGAAATCCCTACTGGTGAACTTGTTTGTGCTGCTGTTAACCCAGAGGTGATGTAAATTGTGTCTGTTTATTCCTGTGAGGATGACTTTTATATATATATTAAAAAAAAAGAGAAAAAAAAAAGTGGATAAACTGATTCTCTGATGTGTCTCAGTAGTTCCCTCAAAAAAAAGAGAGAGACTAAAAACAGGGAGCTTGAGGCTGGAACTTTTATTATTATTTTCTAAATATGATTTTTATCATTATATCATTTTCCCTTTCAGTCTTTTTTTTTGCTTTCCTGTTTTGTTTTCGCTGACTCACTGAAGATAAACGGTACACTGCACTGCTCCACCCCCAACCCCTCCCCTTACCGCTCCTCCAGCTTTCCTATTCATCCCCTTTTCTCCCTCCCCTCCCCTTCTCCTCACCCCTCCAAAACTTGCATCCTTTCTCTCTCCTTGTCTGTCTGTCTATTCTCTTTTCCTTCTCCTCCTTCTCTGCTCCTTTCCTTGCTACTCCCAACACACACA